CTGTACTGTACTGTACTGTACTGTACTGTACTGTACTGTACTGTACTGTACTGTACTGTACTGTACTGTACTGTACTGTACTGTACTGTACTGTACTGTACTGTACTGTACTGTACTGTACTGTACTGTACTGTACTGTACTGTACTGTACTGTACTGTACTGTACTGTACTGTACTGTACTGTACTGTACTGTACTGTACTGTACTGTACTGTACTGTACTGTACTGTACTGTACTGTACTGTACTGTACTGTACTGTACTGTACTGTACTGTACTGTACTGTACTGTACTGTACTGTACTGTACTGTACTGTACTGTACTGTACTGTACTGTACTGTACTGTACTGTACTGTACTGTACTGTACTGTACTGTACTGTACTGTACTGTACTGTACTGTACTGTACTGTACTGTACTGTACTGTACTGTACTGTACTGTACTGTACTGTACTGTACTGTACTGTACTGTACTGTACTGTACTGTACTGTACTGTACTGTACTGTACTGTACTGTACTGTACTGTACTGTACTGTACTGTACTGTACTGTACTGTACTGTACTGTACTGTACTGTACTGTACTGTACTGTACTGTACTGTACTGTACTGTACTGTACTGTACTGTACTGTACTGTACTGTACTGTACTGTACTGTACTGTACTGTACTGTACTGTACTGTACTGTACTGTACTGTACTGTACTGTACTGTACTGTACTGTACTGTACTGTACTGTACTGTACTGTACTGTACTGTACTGTACTGTACTGTACTGTACTGTACTGTACTGTACTGTACTGTACTGTACTGTACTGTACTGTACTGTACTGTACTGTACTGTACTGTACTGTACTGTACTGTACTGTACTGTACTGTACTGTACTGTACTGTACTGTACTGTACTGTACTGTACTGTACTGTACTGTACTGTACTGTACTGTACTGTACTGTACTGTACTGTACTGTACTGTACTGTACTGTACTGTACTGTACTGTACTGTACTGTACTGTACTGTACTGTACTGTACTGTACTGTACTGTACTGTACTGTACTGTACTGTACTGTACTGTACTGTACTGTACTGTACTGTACTGTACTGTACTGTACTGTACTGTACTGTACTGTACTGTACTGTACTGTACTGTACTGTACTGTACTGTACTGTACTGTACTGTACTGTACTGTACTGTACTGTACTGTACTGTACTGTACTGTACTGTACTGTACTGTACTGTACTGTACTGTACTGTACTGTACTGTACTGTACTGTACTGTACTGTACTGTACTGTACTGTACTGTACTGTACTGTACTGTACTGTACTGTACTGTACTGTACTGTACTGTACTGTACTGTACTGTACTGTACTGTACTGTACTGTACTGTACTGTACTGTACTGTACTGTACTGTACTGTACTGTACTGTACTGTACTGTACTGTACTGTACTGTACTGTACTGTACTGTACTGTACTGTACTGTACTGTACTGTACTGTACTGTACTGTACTGTACTGTACTGTACTGTACTGTACTGTACTGTACTGTACTGTACTGTACTGTACTGTACTGTACTGTACTGTACTGTACTGTACTGTACTGTACTGTACTGTACTGTACTGTACTGTACTGTACTGTACTGTACTGTACTGTACTGTACTGTACTGTACTGTACTGTACTGTACTGTACTGTACTGTACTGTACTGTACTGTACTGTACTGTACTGTACTGTACTGTACTGTACTGTACTGTACTGTACTGTACTGTACTGTACTGTACTGTACTGTACTGTACTGTACTGTACTGTACTGTACTGTACTGTACTGTACTGTACTGTACTGTACTGTACTGTACTGTACTGTACTGTACTGTACTGTACTGTACTGTACTGTACTGTACTGTACTGTACTGTACTGTACTGTACTGTACTGTACTGTACTGTACTGTACTGTACTGTACTGTACTGTACTGTACTGTACTGTACTGTACTGTACTGTACTGTACTGTACTGTACTGTACTGTACTGTACTGTACTGTACTGTACTGTACTGTACTGTACTGTACTGTACTGTACTGTACTGTACTGTACTGTACTGTACTGTACTGTACTGTACTGTACTGTACTGTACTGTACTGTACTGTACTGTACTGTACTGTACTGTACTGTACTGTACTGTACTGTACTGTACTGTACTGTACTGTACTGTACTGTACTGTACTGTACTGTACTGTACTGTACTGTACTGTACTGTACTGTACTGTACTGTACTGTACTGTACTGTACTGTACTGTACTGTACTGTACTGTACTGTACTGTACTGTACTGTACTGTACTGTACTGTACTGTACTGTACTGTACTGTACTGTACTGTACTGTACTGTACTGTACTGTACTGTACTGTACTGTACTGTACTGTACTGTACTGTACTGTACTGTACTGTACTGTACTGTACTGTACTGTACTGTACTGTACTGTACTGTACTGTACTGTACTGTACTGTACTGTACTGTACTGTACTGTACTGTACTGTACTGTACTGTACTGTACTGTACTGTACTGTACTGTACTGTACTGTACTGTACTGTACTGTACTGTACTGTACTGTACTGTACTGTACTGTACTGTACTGTACTGTACTGTACTGTACTGTACTGTACTGTACTGTACTGTACTGTACTGTACTGTACTGTACTGTACTGTACTGTACTGTACTGTACTGTACTGTACTGTACTGTACTGTACTGTACTGTACTGTACTGTACTGTACTGTACTGTACTGTACTGTACTGTACTGTACTGTACTGTACTGTACTGTACTGTACTGTACTGTACTGTACTGTACTGTACTGTACTGTACTGTACTGTACTGTACTGTACTGTACTGTACTGTACTGTACTGTACTGTACTGTACTGTACTGTACTGTACTGTACTGTACTGTACTGTACTGTACTGTACTGTACTGTACTGTACTGTACTGTACTGTACTGTACTGTACTGTACTGTACTGTACTGTACTGTACTGTACTGTACTGTACTGTACTGTACTGTACTGTACTGTACTGTACTGTACTGTACTGTACTGTACTGTACTGTACTGTACTGTACTGTACTGTACTGTACTGTACTGTACTGTACTGTACTGTACTGTACTGTACTGTACTGTACTGTACTGTACTGTACTGTACTGTACTGTACTGTACTGTACTGTACTGTACTGTACTGTACTGTACTGTACTGTACTGTACTGTACTGTACTGTACTGTACTGTACTGTACTGTACTGTACTGTACTGTACTGTACTGTACTGTACTGTACTGTACTGTACTGTACTGTACTGTACTGTACTGTACTGTACTGTACTGTACTGTACTGCACATCTACAAATACACTGCACAGTGCTATTTGTCATGTTGGGTATAATAATATCTTTAAAGGGGAAATATACCCTAAAATCAAATTGTCACCAGTTGTAGTCTTCGGGGTGCTGAGTCGAATAGTCTTGGTCCGAGGAAGCTGAGACACTCCCTTCCTCCTTTATTCCCAATCAAACTCGCGCACTTCCACCGAAACTGGGTGACTGCGCCCTACTAGATAGGGATTTGTATGGAAAAAGTCACTAAAAACGCCGTTTCGTTCTTATAATAGTACGGATGACCGCGATTGGTCCTTATGTTGTAGTCTTTTGGCCGCTGAGTCGACTGGTTTTGGTCCGAAAAGGCTGCGATGCAGCGTTCGGCCCTTATTTCCAATCGAACACGGTTGAGTAAGCGGTCACGTGCTCATTTACAGCCTATTTGGGCCCGTTAATGTCACTCGAGTTGAACCTTTGAACCCGGGAATCGTAAAAGCCTCTTACGACTCCCTGCTTTGAACCTTTGAGTTGAACCTTGATGTAAAAATTGTAGCCTGCGGGCATGGAGACCATGCGGCTGGTGTACTCATGAGCACGTGACCGCTTACTCAACCGTGTTCGATTGGGAATAAGGGCCGAACGCTGCATCGCAGCCTTTTCGGACCAAAACCAGTCGACTCAGCGGCCAAAAGACTACAACATATGGACCAATCGCGGTCATCCGTGCTATTATAAGAACGAAACGGCGTTTTAGTGACTTTTTCCATACAAATCCCTATCTAGTAGGGTGCAGTCACCCAGTTTCGGTGGAAGTGCGCGAGTTCGATTGGGAATAAAGGAGGAAGGGAGCGTCTCAGCTTCCTCGGGCCAAGACCATTCGACTCAGCACCCCGAAGACTACAACTGGTGAAATTTTGATTTTAGGGTATACTTCCCATTTAATGATCAGAACCAGATCGATGATCAAATCGTGAAAATCCCAAACACGCATATGTGCACTAATTTGACAATGCCACCGTGCATGGCATCACTGTGGCCATATATGGACAGTGTCATTAGCCAGTGCCAGCGTTGCCTATACAAGTAGCTGACGAGTGGCTGTGTCACATTTGTAGTAAATTAGTTACGTTGAAGTAACATCACACACACACATTGATCTAAATCAGCGAGGTTAGAGTCCGACTTTGTGGTGACAGTAAATTGTTACGCCAGACGTTTCCCTTTTCAGTTCCTCAAACTTGGGAAAAAATCAAAATCTTTTGCTCTTTTAAGAGATACTGTTGAGTCATACAATAGTGGCGTGTGGATAACGTCGCATCCCCATTTTTAGGTTTCAGCCGTATTGTTTTGATATACAGCCGTCCCTCTCTAATCCGGCACCTTTTGCAACGGCATTTTCTGCCGGATAAACAAGGGTGCTGGATTATCAAATCCTGCCCTCCAACCCGGCTCACCTAGTAACGTACATGTTTGTGTCGTACGTCAAAATGTAGGGATTTTCTGTGTCAATCCAAGTACTTTGTCACAAGTTTGTGGAATGCATGTCTGTAACATGCCATGTCTATAACATACACTTGGGAATATCTATGCAAATCCTATGCACTGGCATAGGATATTGGCACTGGTACGGTATGCGAATTACAACTGCGGGATTAGAAAATCAAATTATGTACAGTTTGAGTGATTTGTTGCAGAAAATCGCTGCCGGAGGCGGAATTCAAGTGCCGGATTAAAGCGTAGAAAATGAACTGAAAAAATCCGTTTTGCCCGAAAGTGTGCTGGTTTCAGCGCAAGGGTGCTGGATAAACAAGTGCCGGATTAGAGAGGGACGACTGTATTGACTTAAGTAGTAAGTCATGCTCGATTGTAAGTCACACCCCCATTTTTACCCTTGATACTTTGAGTAAAAAGGTACGACTTACATTCAGGGAAATACGGTATGTGCCTGTATTTTGTGTACGTACATGTGTGCTATATTATGTGCGCTATTACGTATACTACTATTGTAGCCAGAGAGTCCGGGACTTAGCCAGCGAGTGCCGATGTGCATGTCACTGCTACTCGAGCCCAACACCACGGTCTACCCTGATGACTATCTCTGGCCAGCGGAACAGGTTGGTCATAATCAGACAAGGCTGAGCTTCTTTCAATGACATTACTGAAGTGCAGTGCTTCGCTGTGTGCTGTAATTTGCTTTGCCCTCAGGCATGAAGCTTCTGCTGTTTCGTAGTTAGATGGCTACATTGTGGTACGACTCTGAGTCTGAGTGACGGCTAACTTACCAGGTCTTGATAATTCTGGCAATAATTAACACCCTTAGAAACGTAAATCTGGCATTGTTTGCTTTGCTACATCCTGAACCCAGGGCTATGAGTAGCTGAGGGTGGCATATTGCAGTACAGTTGAACATCGATTATCCGACCACCTCTGGGCAGACAACTGTCAGGCGGTGTTCAGATAAGGCAAATGTTCTGGATAAGAAACATGTACATGTACATGTACGACCTTTTTACTTTTCAAAATTTTCGTATTTTTTGAATGGCTCACTACATGCACAGTGCGTACTCTACGGCACGTGCGCCCAAAAAAACTGTTACGGATAATCGAATGGTCGGATAGTCGATGTGCGGATAATCGATGTTCAACTGTACATGTATAAGCATTGCAATGGATTGCTGCAAGGCAGACTTTTCTTGGGTCTTTTCTTCGGTAGTCGTTGTGTACATCTTGCCTTTCTTCTCCTTCGCCCTCGCCGTTTGTTGTTTGCAAGAAGTCAGATAAACGATCGGGTCATTGTGTTGGTGTACGGCGCGGGAGGGGGGGGGGGGGGGGAGAGAGAAGGTAACCGGCGCACTAATTGTGTGACACGAGTGTGCCTGATGCCCGAAGTAACGCTATAGCTCACCAAAAAAAAGTTCCCCGCTTAGAAATGACTGTGTCACCCCGGTATGTGTGTAATCACTCAGTTCAGAATGTCTGTTGTATGTACTGTTGGAAATGCCCTGCACAGGTCAAGTTGCAAGTTAGCAAGCATGGCATGCTTAAAGAGCTGCATCCCGGAGGTGCTGAGGCTTTGATCATTGGCTTCGTGTTTGGCCGAGCCCTGCTGACAGAGGTAAGCACGTACACACGGCGGCAGTGAGCAAGTTTCAGTTTAAGTGTACATGGCATGGCTGTGGGCTGTAACTGGGAATCAAGTGATAAAATTCGTGAAGAGAGACAGACAGGTAGCCATTGCCGGGTCTTTACTGCCGTTGTGTCCGTTGCAGGGTTTGTTGTCGCCAGCACAGTGTGGACTTGTCGACACAGATCTGGATGGAAAGCTCCAGGAGAATCTGCAGGTACAGTTAAGTCTGTTGCCGGGTTGTGCAGTCAATGCCTGTATGCGCTCATGTGGACATTGTATGTAGCACACGCATGTCATTAGTGTTTTCGCTGCCTTCAGCAAGTGAAGGGAATGCGGATGGTTTTCTTGTAGGAACTTGTGTGTGTGTGTGTGTGTGTGTGTGTGCACGCGCATGTGTGTGTGTGTGTGTACATGTATGTGTGTTTAGGTGTATGTATGTATAGTAAGTATGTAATATGTGTGTGTGTGTTTTGTTTGTGTATGCATGTGTGTTCTTAACTTGATTATGTGCAGGTTCTAGTCACCGTGCTGTACCATGTTCTCAGGCTCACCCTTGCTGCACTTACTCAGCCACAGCAGGGCAGTGCTCGCTCAGCATCAGTCGACCCGCTGGTAGGTCCACTATGGCATGACTGTGCTCGTACTTCACAGTGCACATATCGTTACTGGGCTGCTGTAACTTACACCGTGGAAGCCGTGAATACATCCCGAAACTGCAGAACACCGTATCATACCAAGAAAATGAAGTATGGCACTTGACTTGATAATAATTATTATCACCAGTCTCACTGCGATGATTGCCCAGTTTTCACAGGACATTCTTCTGAAACCAACCTACTCTAACAGCTATGAAAATGTCAAAGGGTTTGACGGATCGTGAAATTCTCTGCACTTTCCCTGCAGCCTGCTGATCCAAGCATGATGGAGAGATTTCCCCTGCTGCTGCCCGACGAAGACGTCAAGATATACCTGAAGAAACATGATCGCCTGCTTCACACTTTACAGGTACTGTCATCTCTGTAGACCGGTGCCCGGCATTTGCTTGGTGATGGACAGTGGTTGATTAACTACAGTCAACTTCGCTTATAACGACACTCGGCGGGGCATCGAAAAGGTGTCCTTATTCGCGAAGTGTCGTTATACCCGAAGTCTCATTATATGTATTACAGTGGGATAGGACTTTGCTCTGGGCATGGAAATTCTGTCGTTATTCGCGACTTGTCGTTATATCCGCAGTCGCTATTAGCGAAGTTGACTGTATACTGACTTCCTGTTGTGGTGGGCACGAATGGGGCATTTTGGCAGAAGAACATGCTGGTTCGTCGAAAGTGATACGTGTACTTTTTATCAAAAAGTGCTCTGTGTGTGTGTGTGTGTGTGTGTGTGTGTGTGTATGTGTGTGTGTGTGTATGTGTGTGTGTATGTGTGTGTTTGTATGTGCGTCCGCATGCATGTGCACATGCGTGTGTGTGTGTGTGTGTGTATGTGCATTTTAGTTTTGATGTAACACAAGTCAGCAATGGAAAAGGCCATCCAAAAATGTTCTGTTACTTTGAGTTTCATGGTTATTCACCAATCTTCAGAAGACGTTCAAGGGCGTTGGAACCGCACCGGCCGGGGCGGCCATGGCCGCCCCACTTTTTCGGCGGGTTTTATTTTATTTTATTTTTTAGCACACTGCAACAAAGCGCGATGATCTCAGCGCAAACGTGGCAAATCCTTGTCCCCGATCGTGGTTTGTTGCAGGATCAAAAGTCCATGTACATGTACACTGAAATGGCACCAAATACCCAGAAATGCTTGCAATTGGCTTCAATTTTTGAATTTTTTTCCCGGGGAGGGTAATGTTTGTCCCCGACCGTAGCATCTTCTTGGTTTTTTGCAGAATCAAAAAGTTTTTCATTGTAGTTACCGTACACTGAAATGGCACCAAATGCCCGGAAATGCTTGCAATTGGCTTCAATTTTTGAAATTTTTTCCCGGGGGAGGACCCTGGACCCCCCCCCCTTCCATGGCCGCCCCACCTCCAAAGTCGGTGCGACGCGCCTGACGTTGTCTGAAGATTGATGACTAACCAATAAACGCGGAGTATTGACAGAAAAAATCGCCCTGTTTCAGTGCTGAATTGTGCCATTTGGCTCTGCCTTCGCGGTATCTAGCACTTTTGCAAGTAACTAGCAACTGAGCTTGTGTAGCCTTTGATGTAATAGCTATGACTGCTCTTGCTCATGAACAAGCTATCATGTCAGCTGAAGATAGCCGAAAATTGAATTGGCAAATGTTTCCCCGTTTTCACAGCATACAAGTCATTGGGTGAGTTTGAAGATGGCACATGTCCTTAAAAGTGAAATGTGATTTACAACGTCCTGGGGAATGCTTCATTTAATTTTTTGATATCAATGCCAGATGGATGAGCATAGTGTGTACTTTTCAATCCGTGCGTTTCCGTGTTTTCCTTGCCTTGTCTTTGTTCCTGCTCTCGCAGCAACAGCTGGTTATTTGGACGACCACCTTTGCGTCACAGCTCCAATCCTTGAGAGATAGCAAACTTTAGTATGGAACTTGAACACTGTGCAACATACGAGTCGTGACCAACATGTGCAGTGCTGGACCCTAGTTATGACTCTGGACGGTCTGCCATTGCATCAGATTCCGTTGCTGTTTCCAAGTGAGTGATGTGTGGACCACACTCCCAGTCGGTGTCCTTTGTCCACACATGTGTTATCACATTCAATCCTGGCATATTCAATCTCCAATCTCCCAGTCTAGAAGTCTATCATTCCCACAGAATCAGTCCATGGTTGGTATTTTTCTAGGTTGAATATATGTTCCAGCACGTTTGCAATCAACCATTTCTATTTGAGGTCATGAGTTTTTTAAATTATTGCTACATTGTGGCCAACTTCCATACACTCCGATACTCTTTTAAAACTCTTATTTATGACATAAATAACTCGGAGTTTTTGTACTCTTGCAGAGGTTATGCGAATGATTTCATTGGGTGAGTCAGCATACCACTTATGGGCACTAAGTGTGGAGGAATTTCCATTACATCACCTTGATCCCATTGGGATCTCCAATCATGTAACAGTGTGATGTTAGTTGAACTGTTCTTACCTGAGCTAGGAAACGTCACACTGTGACAAGACTCAAGACAATGGGGCGGCCAGGGACCCGATTGAAAGGGTTCGTCGGCATTTACATATACATGCCAAACACGTCGGAGGCATGATCAGTCTCCGCGCGAACTCGGAACCAAATCAGCTGGGAACACGTTTGCCTGGACGAGATCGGGTTCTTTTGCGGGTCTGTCACGGGGAGCTTCTATTCGCGGCCTCAGCTGATCCAGTCAGGGTGGTGGACGAATGGTGCAGGTGGTAACAAGTACAGCTGTACCCTGGTTAGCCCCAAAGAACTAGAGCAGAAAGAACTGGAGCAGATACTCAACAGGACACTTCCAAGCCTGGTCATCTATGCATACTCATCCCAGTATCGATCTGTCTCCGTTTCTCTCGTTTACATGTACAAGTACTTTTAAGTATACACCTGTTAATAGTTTCTTTAATTAATAGTTTCTCAGCATACTTCAAAATATAACGTGTCACGTTCGGAACAGGAGCGAACGTTCATACAATCACAGGTGCAAACTGTGTGGACGCATGTCAGTATTCTACAGAACAAAGGTGAAAGAGGGGGGGGGGGGGGGTCATCAACGGACCCAAATGTTTGTGATTATTACCGCCATTTTGGCCACTACTTTCACCGGCACCAGTAACAATCGACCAAGTTCCATTCAGCTATGTAAATATTCACTGGCCAGAGGAACCTGCTATGATGATGGTGTTAGAGGTACATGTAAGTGATGATTTAGGAATGCTACCACATGATCTTCTACACGATGCAATAAAGTGCATATGTCGTATCCGGACGGCCCGGGGTTCGACCCCAAGGCTGCGGTCGTCGACATGAACTAACTTACTAATAAACCTTCACATTACAAGGCCGTGCAGTGGTGGCCACTTGGAGAGAGTCCACCAACCGAATTACTCTTACGCACGCACGCACACATACCTAGACATATTCTCACACACACACTCAGGCATATACAGACACGTACACTCACACCAGCGTTCAGCTCAGGTTGACTCACATCTTGAAAGGAGCTAACTGATACTTAGTTCAAGAGCCGATCTTGAGAGCACAAGGCAAGAGAGACGGAAGCCGAAGCTTCCGCCTGAAGGCGGAAAGCAAGAGAGAGAGAGAAAAGCAAGGAGATGGCAATATGATCTAGTTGCGGCCATGGAAATCCATGGCCACGAGATTGCTGGTCCCGCATGCAATAGCGTATCACCGTAATAAATATGCGTACGAACTGTCGCATAAAGAGCGGGAGCCATGTGGGGAAATATAAAATATTATTATTATTATTATTATTATTATGAAATGACCCAAAGGCAATGTGCCTATCGAGGGGTTCATTATTTTGATTGAAAGAACAGTAGATGTAGATGTATGTACAAAGAGAAGTAGGGATTGATGAGGAGAGAAATGGGGAAAATCAACTGCAAGGTGGCGGAATTCCGTTGATTGCATAAGCATAGTCAGCTGTAAATTTCCTGAGGGCAGCTTTGAACTTATAGAGCGAGGCTTCCGATGTTAGACTGGGGGGTAAACAGTTCCATAGAATAGCAGTTCGGAACATGAAGAGAGACTTAGACAATGATTTAAATTTGGGAAGAATGATTTTATTTGGTCGGCGCTCACTATTCGTAATCTTGAAATGGAAATCAGCAAGGTAATCACGATGATGGAAAACATATCTGTGAAAAGTAGTGAGACTGATGATTTGACGACGATAGGCTAGTGACTCTAGGGAGCATTTAGAATTTAAGACAGATTTGGAAGAAGTGTAATCAAATGCAATTTTTTTCTTTTTCAGTAGAGCTCTAGCAAACCTTGCCTGTAATTGATCAAGAGTGGTCATGGGTTTCTTATTAGATCCAAACGACCACACCGTACAGCTATATTCGATCACAGGTCTTACGAACCCTTTGTACAGTATGATCATTGCCGGCGGCGTAAGTTGCTGGGACATAATTGACAGTAGGTGCACTCGATATCTGAACTTCGAAGTTATTGAGGCGACATGTTTGCGGAAATCCAGGTTGTCGGTCAAGGTGATGCCAAGATGTTGCAGGTCAGAAACCACCGTTAATGGCTCATTGTACATTTGGTATTGGATTCCTGCAGTAGGTGTATCATTGATAGCTCTATGGCACAGCACGGATGTCTTGCTTGCTGAGAATTCACCTCCATTGTTCCTGCCCCATGTTTGACATGCATCGAGATCAGACTGCATGTTGGCTCTACTGGCGAGGGTGTCTTCAGGTTTGTAAGCCAGTAGGAGGGTGACATCATCTGCAAATAGATATTGCGTGCAATGTTGCATAGCGTTAGGCAGGTCATTTATATAGAGTAGGAATAGGAGTGGTGAAAGGTGGGAACCTTGAGGCACTCCGCAGTTGATGCTCCGCTTCTTCGATTTAGTGCTATGTACCTTCACTTCAATTTGTCGATCCCCTAAGAAGCTCTTCAGCCATTTTACTGACGAAGCTGTAGCAATCTTACCGAATTTCTTTAGGAGTATAGAGTGGTCGACCCGGTCGAAAGCTTTCCTGAAATCTAGAGATATCAGGTCAAAATTAGTGCCATTATCAATATTTACAGCCATTGATTGGGTTAGCAAGATAAGTTGGTCCGTTACAGACTTGTTGCGTACATATGCGAATTGACCTTTACAAATTACACCCTGGGTCATCAAGTATCGAAGTAGACGTTCCGAGAGAATCTTTTCCATTAGTTTCGCTATGCATGGGAGAAGGGATATAGGTCTGTAATTGGTAGGCTCTTTGGCGCAACCTCTATTCTTGTACACCGGTATTACAGTGGATGATTTCCAGGAGGACGGGAACACACCATCATCAAGGCTGTAGTTGAACAATACTGATAGTGATTGGGAAAGGATATCTGCGAATTGCTTTAGTATACGGTTTGTCGGGTTGATGTCTGATGATGATTTATGTTGTTGCAGCCTCTTTGCTGCATCGAAGACTTCAACAGGGCGTATGTTTCCGAATCCAAATTTGTTTCCATCGACGTCGGCTTCATTGATTGTTATACTAGTTGCTACAGTATTCGGCGGCGTTGACTGAGTGGTGCATTGGCGGGCAAAGAAGGTACACAGCGTTTCGGCCTTCGCTTGATCTGTTTTGTGAATTTCATTGCCGTTCTGCAGGTCTGGAATTGCCTTTTTATTTGTTTGGTCAATATTGCATATTGCTTTGGCACGTTTCCACCACGCATAGCCACCCTTTCTTTCCTTGCCAAGCATTGTGTATCCGAGCGTTGACAAGTATGTGTCCTTGGCGGCTCTTAATGACCGGTGGTACAGGTTGCGCGAGAGTTTGTATGCAGCTCGTAAGGAATCGTTGAGTGGCTCCTTTCGGTGGAGCACATAGAGGCGGTTAGTTCGCTGACGTTGCGTCTTAAGTTTTTTTGTGAACCATGGTTGGTTCGACTGGGTGTTTTTCCGGCGTGTGATGGTCGTTGCTGCCTGAATTGCCTGGTCCAGCAGTGCAGAGTAGGCCATGCATCTGAAACTGATGTGCACGTTGGTGCCCTGCATGCATTCGGTCAATGGTAGTGTGCTCAGTTTCTGCCTGAGGAGGTGCATGTCAACCTTTCTGGAGACTGCGGCTGCGTTGACAGTACTTCTAGAGTGGCGTTTCTCTGGTGGAGAATATGCGCAAAATAGAGGACAGTGGTCTGCAATGGGCATGGATGTGTAACATGAAGTGACAAGATGGGGCATATTAGTTAAAATCAGGTCTAGGGACGGATTAGAATCTTTAGTTGGCCTCGTTCCATGGTTCTTGGAGACCATAGTGAAGCCATAGTCGTCAAAGGCGGACTGCATGTGTCTACCTGCAGTGTTCGTAGGGTATATAGACGATTATGAACCCGTTTACGGGAGATAGATAAATAATAAAACAACTAAATAAGGCATACTTGTCCCGTAGAGGCCTAAAAGGCACGTGCCAATCGTATGGATACGACATATCCCCCCGCTTACACGGAAAAGAACACGTCCTCGTGTTATAAGTAACGTAATAAATTAGACTAAGATTATGGCTAACAATTTAACTAAACATGTACTGTAAAAAGATGGCGCCCGCACTCGGAAGGGTGGCGTGTCACCGTTAGTTTTGAAAGGAGGGGGTCAAAACCTGAAGGAGGGAGCAGCACACCGCTATGTCGCTTTGGCGAGTACCCTGCGTTAGCAGCAAGTGAACCAGGGCTGGGATAGAGGATGGTGATAACAACAAGAGTGAGAGACTGAGAGGATACAATGGACATGTCGCTAACGTTACCCAACAAAATGCAAAATGGCGATGTATGCAGCCTACGACTAGTAACATGTAAGGACTGCTAGTACTAGCCATTGGCGGACTATGCTCGGCCAATCGTCAAATTATGCTTTTGATTATGCCACAATTATGCCAACAAATATGCTGAATTATGCTCGGTTCCACTATGTATTTTTAGTAGTCTAGATACAGTGCAACGAGTGTTAGTTTCCAAGATCTTTACAAGACTGGCGAACACTAAATGTCATGAAGAAAGTGAAGAGAAAGGAGGTTTATATAGGAAAGAGATTGTGATAGAAGACTGTGCAATGAAGTTTGTTGTTTTGTTAGATATCTGACGTGTGCTGTTTGGAAGAAGTGTTTGGATGCAAACAGAACTTACAAGAGATGAGTAAAGACTACTTTTCTACAATAGCGTTGTAGGCGAGGAGTGCGTAACATCAAAAGATGTCGTAATGTGTATTGGAACTATGCTAGCCAAACATTACGTAATTATTATGGTAGCGAAGTACGTGTAGTAGGTATTACAATGTGTGCGAGAGTATGGTGAATCAGTGTTTGTGATGATGAGGAAAATATGACGTGTACATGCAAACAAATGATGATGTCATGATGCGAGAACGTCAGAGACGCTACAGAGCTCCCCTCCTAGTGAATGAGTAATGAGCGATAACTAGCGCGATAAAGTGAGAGCAAGCAAATGGGATAAGCGAGAGAGTGTCAGAAATAGGCGGGAAATCTGACTTGACGACCAGCTCGTGTTTGGCGTGGCGGAGGCACGTCGAATGCGAGCGATGGCGTCGGCTTGGTCGGATGGCAATGGTCGACAGACTGGTTGTCATGGAATGCGGGTTTGAGTCGGTCGATGGATACTGTGTCGGAGCGGCCGTTGAGGTCGAGGCGGAAGTACTTATCATGACGTTCCAGGACTCGGTGTGGACCAGTGTAAGGACGTTGGAGGGGCGTTCGTGTTGCATCTGTGCGAATGAAGACATGAGAGCATGCCGAGAGGTCAGCTGGAATGAACGGATGCTGGGTGGGTGGCTTGCGGGGTTGTGTAGGGCGGAGCTCGGACATGGCTTGTTTGAGGCGG